GAGTAGACAAAAGAAAAAAATAGCCAAACTAATCTCAACTTAAATAATACAGATTTTGCTCATTTTTTTCATTAATATATTGTTTCTTGTGTTGCTTAAGTGCATTATTTGAAAACATTTTGATATATTTAGATATTTAATTTTAATTTGCTTTTAAAGTATCATTAGCTTGTTGCTGGCCTTTGCAATTATTATAGATTTGATACAATAAGTAATAAAAATAATTTGTAACTTTATTGAATTTATTTGAAATATTTTGATGCAGTTTTGAAGAAGGTAAAAGGTATTTCGGATGACAACAATATTATCAAGTATATTGAAATGACAATTGGTTTAAAATTAAAAAAAAAAAAACGTGTTAAATGTAGTTCAATATTTATGTTTGTTTGAGTTAGTCACATTGCAAGTAACTTTCAATAGTATAACTACAAAAGGTGATATGGATAAAATGATCAAAAAACCTACTTTTAAATTTCATAGCCATTTTTTGTGTATAATCGACAGTTTTAAATAATAATGATGCATCAATCGTCATTTAAAGTTGTTTGAAAATCAATTAATGCTTTATAATAATTTGCCATTTGGCCATCTATTAGTCATGATAATTAGATGTTGAAATAATGATATCTAAATAAGTATAATTATTACTAGAGCCCGGATTTATATGCATTTGTATGTTTATATTAAGTGTATGGAATTCTATGGTGGTTTAAAATGTCCCCGATGGATATCACACAGAATTTAAACACCAAATTTTATATTGCATATTTTGCATATTTCGAAGGTTATTACATATTTGTTCATAAATTCATAAAACATGCATATTTAATGAGTTTTTAATCAATTAAAAAATGTTGTATTTTTTTTTTTAAGTTTTCTATTCGTTTTCGGAGAGTAGGTAACTTCAAATAATTTAAAATATTTATTTTCAGTTTTTTTTTATTTGTATTCTTGTTTTTAAGTTTCATAAAAGTTTTAGATAGATTTAAATGATTTGAAATATAAAGCAGTGGATATTATCATTTTTTTTGTTTCGATAAGATATTTAAAATTTTATTTGGTATAAAAGTATGGTTTTTTTTAAAAAAAAAACACATTTTATAAAGTGTAACATAATGCATATAATTGCTTATGTAGGCACTTTTTTTTGCATATTTGCATCATATTTGACACTTTTTAAATGCATATAAATCTGGGCTCTATTTATTACCTGTATTAAATTATAATAGTAATTATTAAATTGCATTACACTATACAAATCAAAGGATAATATCATTAATTACACAATGGAATATATAATATAATACAATATATATATACAAATAATATATATATATATACACAATGATATATTAATATCAAATATGTCCGTTATGCAGTAATATACGACCCTACCTACTACTAGCGCTTTACACGTGTAGTGAAAATATGAACTACTGAACCGTAACGCAGTCTGACCAAGTGGCGGACAAGTGATACCGTGTATTTAGTCACCGAAAAAACCTCACGGCAAAGTTGATAACTGATATATCATGTTTTTCCACAGTAATTATAAGTGATCCATGTAAATAGTTTAATATTGGTAGGTTAGTAGTGACTAGGTATGCTTCAAAATGAATTAAAAAGAAAAGGAGGCGCAGAAAATAAAAGAGATAAAAAACGTAAAGAGTTGTAAGAAAAGAGCAAAACATAATATGTTTTAATAATATTATACATAATATAATATGATACATAATAATTTACATACTATGTAAAATTGGATAATTTATTTAAGAACGTCGAAAAAAAAAGGTGGTAATTGCAGGTTGGTTCTCTCATAGTTGAGGTAATTGTTTAGTTGGAACTTGGATATGATCATGTGGGTCGCAATATTCTATTTTTCCCGGGCCGTCAGATTATGCCTATCCGCCTCTGTGGCAATAGTTTAACGGAGTACTGAGGTGTTGGGTGAAAAAATTGGTAATGAATTAATTCGCGTCGTGATTGACCCTCTCCGCTTGCGACTTCGGTTGTGTGCGGAGCAACCACAATATTTTTATTCTTTGTTATGTGTACGCAGTTGTGTGATTTTTATTCAATGGTGTCGGCCTAGCCGGGCCCCAGCTTCTAAAGTCCTCCGAGGCTGGTAATGCATATTTTTAATTTTATATTTTGATCCTTGCTGTTTATATTTTTATATGTATGTCACGGAGCGCCAAGCCTCAAGCACCGGTTACGGTATTTTTTTTTGTTATAACATTTTATTATAATACGGAGACCCTCAGCGGTGACGGATGTGTAACTACGGCCTTCCGTACCGTTTCATTATAATTCTATTTTTTTTTTTTTTTTAAATTTATAATTGCTAGTGGTGCATTTTATTCCGGAATGTCGCAGCGTTCTTCAGGGGAATCCAACTAGTCCACAAACTAGCAACTCGTCTGGGACGAATACCCGCCGTGCTTTAGCGGTACGCCGTGTTGGATGGTCGGCGGGTACTCGAAGGTGTTCATCGCACTATTTGAGAAGTGTAGGTGTTATGTTTTTCTTTTGTTAGTATCTATATTTTCTTTATTTCTTTTAAATTTTAGATAAAGTTTTTTAATCGTTCGATATTTTTGCCCCTGGTTGACTTAAATATTTTTTTTAATAAATTTCCTTTAATTCAACTTAAAACTTTATGTATTTTTTTTTGTGCGTTCCGTCTTCAACGGACTAACGAAACTTTCCTTTCAAAAATCATCTTTAGTTACATAAGGTACGGGCAACAATTTTTTCAAAGATTATTCCACATAGTATGTGGCAGAATTTCACAAGGTACGGTGTAACACAACGACTCGATTATTATCTACATTTTAATTACTAATATTTCATAATAGCGAAAAACTTAATTATCATTATTTTAAATTTTTCTGAAAATCCTAATGTGTTCCAACCTCATGGTCTCAGCCAATAGGTCGATGATGCTATTTTGATTATACTTATAACACGCCAAGAAAGTTACAGCAGAATTCGTTGCGCCCGGTCAAATGAATTATGTTTTTATATTTTTTCAAAATCAATATTATCGAACTATCATTGTGTTCGTGTATACCAGGGGTGGGCAACTTACGGCCCGTGCTATATTTTCGAATTAAATCATATACATAAAGTTTATCGTATATCGATAAAATAATGTTGTCTGGTATTAAACAGCGTTAAACGTCTAAATGTCATACATTATATGTACGAGAGTTTTCAAACATAGCTGTTTGTACCGAACTATTTAACTATATCAGTTTCTTCATATTATTCTTGTCGTGCTGTCGTATTTTTTGAATTTATTTTTTCGGTGTATATAAATGCTAATTAAAATTCATATTTTGAATGCCCTTTTTTTTCCAATTCTTTGGTTCGCTGCGTTTTAATTTTCTAAAAATTGGCCCTCTAGTAAGTTTGAGTTGCCCATCTCTGGTGTATACGATTGTTAATAACATTTATCTCAATCTTTCAAAGTATTTATATTTGTTTGATTTTGATCAAGAGAACTAAAATATGTAAGCTAAAGAAATTATAATCCTATTAAATCACGTTAACTATATTTCAAGATTAAGATAAGAATAAAATAATTTTAATTTAATTCAGGAAAATAATTCCTATGGTATTTTATGTTAGCGTGGTTGCCTTGAGCCCGAGGACGAATTTAGGAAAGATTTAGGTCAGCTGACTCACAATTAATATTTGTTGACAAAATTGGTCTGAATACTTCTTATATTTTTTAAGTGCCTATTATAAATTAAAACTTAAATGGCAAATTTCTCAGTTTCGATATTTCTTCCACAAATTATGCCACTGGTTTAATTGTATATCAAAATAAAACATCTAAATGCCAGACCCCATGTAAAGTTCTATGAATTAAGATACATGTTTACAATGATAATTATGAATAAACTTAAAAAAAAAAACAATTTCAGCTCTAATATGTAGGGCCAATGGAAACAGTCTGACCCAAAGTTCTCTAACTGTGGATCCGTCCTTGGTTGGGCCTCTATTCTAATAATAAATCTCAGACCAAGACCGACACTGCTCGTAGATCAAAATGCAGTATCGTCCAGAAACATTGCTAACGTTATGTTGTCGAATTTTGGTATAACTGTCGCGGAGAGTAGGTAAAATACTGATCCAAAATCGTTGCTCTGTAGTACTCCAGCAGGTATATTTTTCTATTAGGTGTTACTGCTTCTTCGTGTATGACTAGGAATTGACAATCAGTTAAATAAGATTCCAGAATTTCATCCCAAGTATGTGCCAGCCTTTGTAAAAAACCTCAGCTATGACAAGGAACACATTGCAACAATATTTTATTCCTTTAAGACATTTGCTTATCACATTAGTGACGCGATGTACTTGATCGATTGTAGAATGTTCATTGTAAAATTCAAACTGATGTTTCGGTATAATGTTCTTCCACTATAATTGATTTAAGAAATTTAATCCGTCGTTTCTTTCATAGTACTATTTTATGTATTCACTGTTTAATTGAATTCAAAATTTCACTCTTTATACATATTTTTAGTCGTTACCTACCTGTTATTTCTTTGTGTATTACAACTAATATTTTAATTTAGTCTCACACTCGTTTACACAATAAAAAAATAAAATAAAGTCATTTGAGTAGAAGTTTTTATAAAAGATAAACTTGGCAGAAGTGAAGGTTTTCTTGGTTTAAGCAATATTATCACCAGTGCCCGTTTTCATTGTGCTGCAATATATGACATGCACAAGAAAATATTGTTATGTGTGAAAGATGAATGATGTTATTCATTGAAATTACTTTATGTATTTTAGGACTAACATCTTCATAAATTGGTATTTTTATGGATTTATGTTGTCAACAATTGCTTTAGAAACTTCTAATCTAGTTATCTAAATTATGTAATTTATCTTCAACAGTTCATTAGTTCAGATAACAATAAAGAGCATAGACCAAATAAAATAAAAAGAAAATAATATTTAAATAACAAACATTCTCGTTATTTCAGAAAAAGCGAAGACCACTAAAGAAAATTGTTTAAATAAGCAGAATAATGCCAGTGTTGACTTAAAAATAAAGTCCGAAGATATAGCTGAAAAAGAAAAGAATGGTTCTAAAGATGTTTTTACTCCCTCGGAAAAAAAAACAAATGCAGATACATTTGATTTGAAATTTTCAGTTGCACGGAATTCTTCGTCGAAATCAGAAACCAGTGCGGAAGTTACGAACATAGTTCCATCAAAGAAACATCAAAGAAACAAAGTGAACACAAACGTTGATAACCTAGAGAGTTAGTTTTCGATTTAGATTGAGAAAAAAAATAGTCATATCAATAATGCTTACAAAATTACAAATACTTTTTAAATTTCAGATCAATTAAAAATACTTTTAGAAACTGCAATTAGTGAATCGAAGCAACCTACTATAACTGGCAAAAAATTAATGAAATACTCTACGAAACCGTGGTCGGTCATATGTGACGAATATGAAGCCAGTCGTAAGTGTATTATTGATAGCATAAAAAATAATGAATATACCATCGAATTACAATTTACAGTTGCTCGGAATGATTCGTCAGAACCTGAAGCCAGTAGTTTAGATGAGAAAATAGATCTATCAACGAAAGCGATAAATGTAAAGGAGAATACCACAACCGAGGAGGCTAATGAAAAACCAGTAGTTGAAGAGAACATAACTACTGATAACCAACAGAGTTAGTTTTCGATTTAGATCGAGAGAAAAATATTCACATCAATAATGCTTAAAAAATTACAAATACTTTTACATTTCAGATAATTTAAAAGCACCTACAGAACATACAACTATTGAACCTATTGATAAACCTAAACTATCTAAAAGAGCAATGAAGAAACTTAGGAAAAATGCGCCAAAAACACTGTCGGATACAGTTGTTCAACGTGTAGCCAGTGGTAAGTGTTATAATGATAGATTTTAATAAAATCTTATTTATCGTTGACCGAAAATAATTCAACTGAACCTAACATTATTTTCAATACCTGATTAAAATTCTTATCCAAAATAATTGGAACAGATCGAATAAAACAAAATCAATAGTTTTTGTATAAAAATATTTTCATTCTTTCAGAAATATCGTTGATCAATACAAATATTGGTTTCGATAAAGAAAATATCGCCGCTGTTGACGTAGAAATAAATTCCGATGATACAACTATGATATCAAAGAAGGATCTTAATGATCTAAGTATTCCATCAGAAAATAAAACAACTGTAAAAAATAATGAATTTACCATCGACTTGCAATCTTCAGTTACACGGAATTCTTCGTCGAAATCAGAAACCAGTGCAGAAGTTACGAACATAGTTCCATCAAAGAATCATCAAAGAAACAAAGTGAACACAAACGTTGATAACCTAGAGAGTTAGTTTTCGATTTAGATTTAGAAAAAAAATAGTCATATCAATAATGCTTACAAAATTACAAATACTTTTTACATTTCAGATCAATTAAAAATACTTTTAGAAACTGCAATTAGTGAATCGAAGCAACCTACTAAAACTGGCAAAAAATTAATGAAATACTCTACGAAACCGTGGTCGGTCATATGTGACGAATATGAAGCCAGTCGTAAGTGTATTATCGATAGCGTTTTTGAAAATCTCATTATTAATGGTTTAAAAAATCTTTAGTTATTATCTGAAAGTAAGAATACATTCAATAACTGTTCACAATAAATGACACAGACCGAATAAAACAAATTAAAATAGATTTTAAATAAAAACACTACGGGTACTATGAATTGGAATAAATTCATAGCTACAAATTGCAATACTCAAAACAATATCCTATATCTGCTGATGTACCCCAAGGCAGTGATATTGTACCATTCTTGTACACCATATACACGTCGGACCTGCCACATCAGGAAATACTCTAGTTGGAACATATGCTGAAGATACCGCCGCTTTATTATCAGATTCTTTAGATCATACCACTGCTTCTCATCGTATTCAAATTCATTTAAATACTCTCTCTCTCAGTCGTTCACCAACTGGAAAATAAAAGTTAACGAATCTAAGTCCCCTCTTATCACTTTCACATGTGGACTTCAAAAATGCCCAGCCGTATCAATCACCATATACGTAACGTACATCACCATTCCTGCATCAATAGAAGTAAAATACCTTGGACTTACTTTTAACAGGTGCCTTACCTGGTCTCACCACCTTAAGGACAAGCGTAAGAAACTTAAATCCAGACTTAACTTGCTAAGGCCACTGCTTCGTTCTAATCATAACCCTCAAAATAATCTTTGTCTTCACTGGTGCTCTCTGGTTTATCACAAATGTGACCCTTTATTCCGACCTCAAATTACCGTCCATCAATAAAACAGCTGCTATCTATTATGAACGCTTCCATGCCTCAATTCAACATATTCCTAGCCAACATGTCACTGAGTTAGTCTCGTTAACACTCTCCCGGAAATCCAACCAGATGCCTCAAAAGAAACTGGTGCCATGACATGAAAACTTAAGAATTAAAAATTTATTAAAATTAAGTGGTATCAAAAATGTGTCATTATTTCTTCCTATGAATATATTCTACTTGTCAACTGTCTGTAAAATATTATTCTTACTTAATTTACATACTGAATAGATTGTAATTTTTCAAATAAAGAAATTTCGAAAGAGATTCTGAATAAATCTGATATATATGACTATATCTGATAGATATAGTTTTACAAATATAAGGAATAAGATGTGTGTTTATCACCTATCATCTAAACTGATACCATACATTAAAGAATTAAAGTACAAGTTCACATTTAATAGTTTAACTATATATAAAAAATAAAAAAAAAA